AACTCATGCGGAAGCGGCTTTAGATTCTCAGTGCTGTGCTTTAACCCGCTGCGCCACCAGGGAGGGCCCAACTACTCCTCTTTTTTACTTTTTCTAACTAACTCATATCAAAAAAGGAATTCTTTACAATGTAAAGAAGTTATTTGGGGTGGTGGAGGTAGAAATATATCTGAAAGTGATTATGTATGCTTGCTTATAAGATAGTACATTTCAAAGCCTAGCACATAAAGCATAGGACAAGGTTTTTTTGCTCAACCTTTTATTCTGCAATAATTATAAACTCATAGGAAGTTGAGCCAATAATACAAAGAGCCTCATGAACTCATTACCTAGCCTCTGAAAATAATATCTTTTTTTTAATAATTGAGGTTTACAGTGCTTCTTGAGAAGCTGTTGTACACTGCCTTTTTAGTTTGTAGTACAAAATTAAGAAATTGACTTTGGTACATTACTATTAGTAGTGACTTACTCCATTTTCACCAATTTTTGGAACCTACCCTAAGGGAGGGATGTGTGTGTATGTGTTTGTAATTCTGTACAGTTCTACACAGGCAAGGTTTTAACATGTAGTTGTACATACGGTGGCCACAAATTGGCTGTCCCTCCGCCCTGTGACCTTACTAGTTGTAATTCATCCCTGCTATCACTGGCAGGGATGCCTACTATTACCATTAGATACGTGGCAGTTTCCGCCCTCTCAGGGACATTTGGAAATGTCTGGAGACATTTTTGGTTGTCTCAGTTTAGGCTGTATAGTGTGCTACTGGCATTCATGTGCTCCTGAGCGTCCTGTCACGCAGAGGATGCCCCGTCTACCAAAATACTGCTGAGTGGCCAACTGTCTCTCCAGCTGATGTTGAGACACTGCAGTAAGGGGTGACTCCCTGAGTGAGGTGGGAGGTGGACACCTTGGAATCTGCCCCTGGTGCTCTGCACTTACATGCAAAAGCTCCCTCCCCCAGTCTTCATTGTTTCCTGGTGTTCTCATCTCCATTTCTAATGACTTTCTCCAAACTTTTCCCTGCAGGTTTTCAAAAATACCTGGCAACAAGTCTGGAAATTAATTCCATAACTTTGTTGAAATATTGCAAAAAGATGACTTCTGCATCCTAACCCTTGAACGATTCAAATTGGTGCCAGGTGGAGGACTCCCATCACCTTCTCTCAGAACAAATTCAGTTCAATCTATTGTCTTAGTTTGTATATTTTCTGTGACTTGAAATAAACTTTGGACACAATTTTAGTATACTGCAAATTGATAACACATGACCTTTTTGCTTTTAAAAAGCTGAACACTGAGGGTGAAACGTTAGATGTGTTTTCTACCCTACTGCAGTATTGTACTTTAATATTATATTGCCATAGTTCTATTTTTCCTTTTAAGTTAACCATTTATTCTTGATGATATTTGAGGATTTCTCAGAAGCATTGTTTTCTGGAACTTGGTTTTTGCTTAGTTTGCTTCCAACAGGAATAAGATTCGTCCTTTGAGAACTTGCTAGAACTTCTGAGTCTTCTGGGAGAAAATAGCATGAGCTGTAAAATGGTGAGAAGGCCAACAAAGCCAGGAGCCTAACAGAGCAGTGAGTTTAGGTTAGAAAAGTCCAAACAACAAAATGCATCTTATGTCAATTAGCAGGCCTATTTGCATGCATGTTTCAGAGTGAAGACGGATGTATTAGCGCTGGTTTGAGTGTATTAACAACACGAGAGGCTGTTGTCATTTATTTGGCCTAAAACTTTTCAGTCTGGGTAGTCAACCTTAAAAGTTTTTAAAAAGCCACTTTTCACATTTCAAGACAAAATAAAAACAGAAATCGGATGGACAAAAAACGTTCTTCCTATCCTCTAGATAATCTCTAACCTACATGCCTACCCTGTAACCAAATTTATTCTGGGAAATTAAAACATAAACCCCCCTAAATCTTTCCTATTCTCATTTATTTTAAGAGGACCAAAATTAGAACACAATCAGATTGCCCACGAGGTCTGCCCCTGCCTGCTTCATTGCAGATAGGTATGCGCATGATCGCGCCGCTGGCTCTAGGACTCTCCCAGCCTTGTATTCTCTCTCTTAGTGACATTAAGGAGGAACATGGTTTCTCTTCATCAGGCCAACCTCAAGAGGTTAAGAGGTGCCTTAATAAGTAAAGTTCTACTGGAACTACTCTTGAGCCTATTTATATTCTCAGAATCCTACCCCCTGGGTTAGGATTATGGTCAAGTGAATTAAAAGCCTGCCATGGGCTTAGAGAATGTAATAGCATATTGCTTACATGTCAAGCAAAAGAATGCAAAGATAATCAACTTCATGAGAGACATTGAAATGGAGGGATTTTCTATTCTGATAAACATTTACAACAAGTTTGCTGGATAAGATACTTCATATTACAACCTAAAATGTAAAACTTGCTCAATAAAGCAGAGGAAATTTCTTGAGTATCCTGCTTATCCCCAATTCAGACTTGGATACTGATTATGCATTGGATTTATTATCGTTACCTTTTCTGCCTATTTCCAGGACTATCCTAGGCCTTGAGATGTTGTTTTTAGCAGCATTCCTACCTTGAAGTATCAAAATATTTAGACATTGAGTTCGAGAGTAAAGCATTTCTCATTAGGAATTCTTAAGTTTCAAGGGACACTGAGATTCCAAATCAGTCTTACAGGATCAAATTATCATTTGGTCAGCAATTGTCTAATAGGAACTTTATAATCAATGTTCCATTGTGCATTTTCCTAAAGCCTTACTAAATTTAAATAGATAAAATCCAGGAAATTGGCAACAGCAGGGGGTATCCCAATCTATTCCTACGGAAATAACCACTAGTGTTTTTTTACTGATATCTAATTAATAAAACACTGTTAGTACCGTAAGTTCATGACCTACCTTTATTTTATTCAGCCTAGTGGCTGAAAAAAAAATCCATCTTACTAATCCTTCAAGTCATACAGGTTTCTGTATAATTAGAAACAACTTTAATCATTCTTGGTCACTTAATGGTAGAGAAATAGGTGCTATAAAATGCTAATTCAGTGGGAATATTCTTATAAATCTATAATAAGGTGAGTTGTTTTTGGGTGCAATTAAGTGTGGGTTTTCCCCCATTTTACAGTCCCCAGCCTTTCCTACTGATTGACTGTGACTACAAATACCCTATGTACAGGTGGATGGGAGAAATAAAACATTTTGATAAGAGAAAAGGCATTTTACTTAACATCATCAGGTGAATGAGTCCTTACTGAATATATAGGTGGGAGCCCAAAAATATTAGACATTAATAAAAGTAATGATTAAAAAAATAATGATAAAGAACCCCTGATGACTAAGTCATCTAAACGTGGAGTTTGAGTTTTCAGTTATTTCCAACAAAACAATACATGCTAATGACGATGTAGCTGACTTTCAATTATAATTAACATACTTTCAAGACGTTCTTTTCCAAATGGAGAGTGCAGATAAAGTAACAAGACTCATTCATTAAGCAAAGAAGAAAATCCTTCATTTTTTGACAAGCAAAAATAAGTAAGGCATAAATTGCTGTTCACACTGGATAAGATCATGTTTAAAATAACAGTAAGAATGTACATAGTTAATGTTATATAGGAACAGAATTCTTGGTACTCTTATGTTCATTGTTTTACTATTTATGCTAATATGCTTTGTCGTTAATTCAATAAATTTGTATTTAAAAAATTACGCTATATAGAAATCTTCTTTGAAGGTGGGAGGGAGGGAGATCATAAAGCATAGTCCAGGATATAGTTAACGCTTAGAATCAACAGAGTCCCCTGGGGTTAAATCGTCTGTCTGCCACTTTACCAGGCCTTGCTACAGTCATGGCATCCCATAAAGAATTTTCAACTATTTTTCCCCAAAGAGTTGGCAATTATTGTGACTTCTGAAGTTCTTAGGTTTGTGAAACTCAGTGTCAAAAAAGTTGAATTCAATTTAAAAAAAAAAAAGTGCAGGGAGTCAAGGTTTGAGAGCTACATCATCCACATACGACTACTCAAACCTGACCAGACCAATAAGTTATTGAACATATGAAGAGACTAAGTGCAGATTAACATCCTGCTGCCTATATTTCAGGAATTTTATTTGTTGCAGTAAAATTGAACTTTCCTATGATCCAGGCTGGAATAATGGTGACCGTGCTTGTGCAGATTCTTTGCCAAAGTTGAGGCCCGTCTAAGGCTCCCAGCACACACCTGCAGTAGAACAGCAGTTCTAGAATGCAGCCACAGCCGCTCTTTCTCAAATGAGAGTGAGAGACTGCCTCTGCTAGGCCTCTACTACTCCTAACAACGTTGCATCAAAATAGAGTCGTTGATGCCTTTTGGTAGTTTTCTCCCCTTTGCTACTGGTAAGCTCCACATGTGCCTCCAGCCCACAGCACTCAGCACTCAGCCACTCTCCTGCCAGAACAGATGATCAGTAGTAGTGCCAGACTATTTAAGTTCAAATCCCAACTCTCATAATTTACCCCACGTGTGACTGCAGGCAAGTCTCTTCACCTGTATTTCACTTTTGCCACCTGCGAAATAGGGATAAAAATAATACCCACCTCATAGGGCTGTTCTGAAGTTTATATAAAAACCATGTCAAAGCAATTTGGAAAAAAAGCCTGACATAGCAAAATGTGTGAGCTGCCATTGAAGTCATTCAGTGCATTTATCACCCCTCCTTCCCCCACACACTTTAGATGTCACACTGAAGGCCTTGTGGTGCTTCTTGCCAAGAATAATCTACTATCCTCTAATTCTCACCCTCTCGATTCTTCTACACCTTTTTACTTGAGTTATAATTCAAATGTCATATAACATTCACCCTTTGAAAGTGTCTATTTAAAAATATTAGCTCAAAGGATAGCTGATTTCAGCTATGTTGATTTCAGCACTATAATAGGTAAGACTTGGAAACAACCCAAATGCTCCCAAACAGATGACTGGAAAAAGAAGATGTGGTACAGGTATAAAATGGAATACTATTCAGCAATCAAAAAGATAAACCTATGCCATTTGCTGCAACATGCACGAAGCTAGAGGGATTATGCTAGTGAAATAAGAAGGAAAAAGAAAAATACCAGATGGTTTCACTTATAGGAGGAATATAGGAAAGACAAACAAGGGACCAGGGAAAAAAATGAAAAAAAAAAAAGACAACAAAACAAAAATAAACAGAAAACTACAGAGACATTCTGCAGAGGAGAAGGATCAGAACGAGGGTGGGAAGAACACAAGGGACTATGGTGATAGAGCATGGGTGAACTGATAGTGGAAATTCATTTTTTCTTTTAAAAATATTTATTATATAATCTTTCATTTTTGTACAATGTATGATTCTATGGCGACTGCATCTGAGAAAAGCAAGCAAATACTGTTAAAAAATTAACAATGCTGTAAAATATAAATTAAAAAAATTTAAAATCACAACAATTCTTTAAAAAATAAATATGCATCTCCTAAAAAAGAAAATGTCCATTTAGTGCTTTTTACTACAACCCAAAATTGTGCAACCATTGCCATTATCAAATCCAAGAACATTTTTATCATTCCCCAAAGACATCATATATAATTAGCAATCACTCCTCATTTCCTCCCAACTGCCACCCTCCAGTCCTGGATAATCAAATATACTTTCTGTCTAGCTTTGTTTATTCTGAATATTGCATATAAATGGGATCATACAACATGTGAGCTTTGGTATCTGGGGTCATACACAATGTTTTCCAGCTCATTTGTGTTGCAGAGAAGGACTTTATTTCCTTTTACAACTGTGTAATATTCCACTGAGTGGCTGGATCCCATTTTGTTTGTCCATGCGTCCATTGATGGTCACTTGGGTTGTTTCCACTTTCAGTGTGAGTTTTTGTGTGGACATTTTTTTTTTCATTTTTCCTGGGTTTATATTTAGGAGTGAAATGGTTGGGCCACATGGTAACTGTACATTTAACATTGTGTGGACTTGCAGGGTTTTTCCAAAGTGCTGCACCATTTTATACTACCCGAAGCAACATAGGAGGAAATTTCGCATCGATTCTCCACTTCCTTGCCAACTGTTATCATTGCCGCCTTTTATTATGCCCATCCTAGTCCTCCCCCTTTTTTGTATATTTATTTTACTCCTGCCCATGGGACCCCATTTTGCCTATTTGCTTAGGTTGTCCTGAAGCTACATATGCCCTTCCTGGCCCTGCTCCTCCTCCAACACTGTTGACCACACCTCTAATATTTCTTCCCTTGGCTGTAGTGGTACTACCTCATGTTCTCTTTCTCTGGTTCATCTTTTCCCCTCTCCACATAATGTAAACATTCCTAATTCTCCATCTTCTGCTGTTCTCCTAGCAATCGCATCCATGCTCACAAATTCAACGATGGTCAACCCGACACAATAATTAGCATACACTTGCAGTTAATGGCCATTTTCATTCATTGCATCCCGTAGTATTGATGACAGCCCTGCAAGTGAGTAAAGCCAGGCATTTACTGATATAGCCTCCATCTTACAGTTGAGGAATCTTGAATCTGAAGAGAACGGTTTTCTAGGTCAAGGTCCCAGAACTAGAATGTGTTAAAACTAACATTAGGAACCAGGATCGTCTAAATCTGAGTCCTAAGTGTTCTCACCACTACCTTTGTGAAGCTTTTCCTGATCACCTCTTGTGACCGGAGACTTTTTCTTTCCTCAGTGTCCATATAACTGTTTCATGGAGAACATCATTCTGCTTTGAATTGATGGTATGCATCCTTTATAAAAATGTGTGCTCTCTGTGGCCCTCCCTGGTGGCGCAGCAGGTTAAAGCACAGCACTAAGAAGCTAAAGCCACTTCAGCATTAGTTCGATCCCCGCCTGCCCCGGAGGTGACCCACATGGTGCAGCAGACCTCTCCTGACCCGCCCGCTGCTCCCCTCAGCAGTGTACTTCCTCGATCGGCATGTTCTGCTCCCCACTCTGTCTCTGGTGAATCTTCTCACCGCCCCTGCACCTCTGGCCTGCACCCCAGCTCTGTATATATAAATAATCATTTTTTTAAAAAAAATGTGTACTCTGACAGTAATAACCATATCCTATTTCTCTTTCAACCTCCAAAGCTTCTAAATTAGTATTTAGCTTCTAGAAGATAACTGATATTTGTGGAGTTGATCTTCACCTGCCCACTTTTTCTGGAGATTTATCTAACACAATCAGCTTATCTCCGTTCCCTAGGAATGGTTGCTTTCATGCTATCAGCTTTTCTTATAAACTCTAACATGTCTCAATCCCCTCCAGAAAGACTAAGGTCAAGTAGTCATTTAAATAGTATACTCCATACCCTCATTACTTTGACTAGAGGTCATTAAAGCCCAAAACAATGCATTTGAATTGTTTGAATCTTCTGTATGTTTGGTAATACAGGTGGTACCTGAGTCTCCTTACGGTGTTGTTTAGGGGTTTGATAGAGCAGCAAAGGTCTTCTCAATTAGTAAATCATGACTTCTATTTTGTCAGAAAGCCCAGATGAAGTTTGCTCAGTTTTAAGCAACAATCTAAGAAAGGTACAAATAATTTCTGCCTGAGACCTTTTCCCAGGTGTGTCCAATGTTCTGCAAAACTTTTCTTAAATCCTAAATTTGCATACTCAACTAGAGGAAGATACACTTACCTGGGGTGAGCAGCAGCTATTTCTTGTGCCCGCAAGCATAAGGCAGGTTCACTATCGATTCTGGCAGATGGATAAAGGAGAGTCGGGGAGCCCTCCGTGGATTTCACAGTCTTTAACGCTCTCTCGGGAAACCAGACACACAGGCCCACAGACAGGGAGGCTGGCAAGCAGGGAGTAGGCACCGGCTGGGCTGGGGGAGGGCGTCAGTCTGACAAGTTACTCAGCCCCCCTGCAAATCTTTGCACTCCCTGGCCTCTATGACTTCCCAGTCTCCTGATGTGCTGCCTCCTCTCAGAGTAGTCTTTTCATGGCT